CATCACCAACCATCACCATCATCAAACGCATCACCACCACACACCCACCACCACCACCACGCACCAACGCACCACCGCACCGGCCGCCGCCGGCGTCCCTCCACCCAACTCCTACGATAACTTCCGCGAACTTGCGACCGTCCCCGGCTTTCGCCTGTCCCCTGCCCCGAACATCGATACCGATTCCGCTCTTGCCACGACCCACTTACCCGCGACGACCAAAAACATTCTGCCGACCATCACACCCCCATCCACAATCCACCGCCAACCGGTCCCCCACCGTCCATCCCATTTCCGTCTCGTCCCCGCCCGGTTTCCGCCCCCGCCACCGATCCCCGCCACTGCCACCCCTCCTGCATCCCATCACGGCCATCTCCACCCCTGCCATCCCTGAACACCGCCACCCCGCCGCCGCCAGCCAACCACCACCACCAACCACCACCACCAACCACCCCCCCCCACCCGCCCGCCGCACCACCACCAACACCACCACCCCCGCCGCCACCACCAGGAAACACTACCGCTACCGCCCCAGGCACACCAGCGGGCCCCCGCCCAGGAATTCCGCGCCGCCCCATGTGGTCGCCAACCCCCAGGGACGCCCTTGCAGGGTCGCACCTGCCGTTCTTCACGCTCGCTAAATCTCCCTGGCGGCACAGGAGGACGCGCCGCCTAGCGTGGGCCAGTGGGGCCGCTGGGGCGCGGATGATTTAGCTCCTCCTCGGTGGCGGACGTGCGCGTCCACAGGCCCCGGCGCCCATTCAACCTGTTGCAGTGTGTGCGCCAGCATTCCTCAGTCAATGTGCAACAAAACGGCTTGACCGCCATAAAACCCCGAAGGATTTTAAGGTAATTGAACAGCAGGTCGTTGACCTGGGAGCCGTTCTATACAATCTAGACAATCGGAAAAGAGTGAAGAATTTTTTTTCCTGCAACTTTCCAACGATGGTTGCTCAGCTAGTATTTACCCACGTTTCCAACACTTTGAATGCTATTTCAAATCCAAATGTACATAATTCTTCTTGATATTGCAAATATATTGCAATGTAATTTATAGCTTGGCACAATAAATAATACTCTCTTCAACATTACATAATATGTGGTGATTTTAATACTTTTTGGTTATGAAACAATGCATATAAATAATTTTTAAAATTTGCATTTAATGTACTTGTCTGAATTTTTGAAAAGCAAAAAAGCTTCAAAATATAATCGCGTTGTTATCACAGTTTCGAATTGTTGTTTATATTCTTAATAGTGGAGAGCGGCGATTTGTATTCGGTAGAAATGCATAATTGAATAAAATGAATACCAAATATTACACAAAATATTGTAATCAGACAAAAACTTTAATTTGTAATGACCACTTAGCGAATATATTTCCTTTCACTCTCAGAAGTTATGTACAACATTAAATGAAAAATTTTATACATAGCTAAGAATATATTAATTACAATACTAATATTTAGTGAACTAATTTTTAAAGAAAATAAATATAATTGATAATTTAAAAAAATGGTTCTAGCTATAGCTAAGTTTTGTCAGTATCCATATTAGGTAACATTTAATTTCTGAGCAAATTTCGCTTGATTTCAGTCGGCATTACCTTAGTTTGCCTCCTCCACCCCCTCCCCCAACCCGTCTCGCTTCTTCCAACTCTCGCCCTCACTGCATTTCCTAGCTCGGCCTGACCGCCCCCGCCGCTGCTCCCTCCTCCACACACACACAGCGCGCCCGCATGGCGCTGCTTTTAATTTTTCAGCCCCGCGGCGAAAGCAGAAGCAGCCGCGCTAATAACTTCCGAGTGCCGCCGAGAACAAGTGAAGTCAGTGTGGCGTGCGGAGGGAGGGTGGCGCCTCGTGGAGCAAACTGGCTCGCCTCCCCCCCCCACGACATGTGCAGCCGGAGGGGACGCGTCCCCGCGACCCACGCCCTCTGCCGCTGACACAAGCCCTCCTCGCCCCCGTGCCTTCGCGTGCCGCCGCGCAGGAATACGAGGCCGCCGCAGAGTGTTCAGGAATACTCGCCACATACCCTCGCTTCCGCGAAAATAAAAAAAAAATATACCTAAGTTTATTATTAGTTTGAAAACGACTCAGTTGAAGAGCTTATTGCCAAAGTGACGTAGCAGCCTAGGTAGCTCATGACATTAATTGAATTGGTAGCTAGAAGAGGGGCCCATTGGACTCTGGGCCTTCTTCCAGAGAATGCAGAAGTGAGTTCCACGTACTTTAATCTGTATCCAAGAGAATTTTCATGATTTTATCTCTATTCGTTAGGTGCGTAGAGCAATATTCCGTTCCACTTAATATTGCACTCTAACCTGTCATTTGAGTTCCACTTAATCCGGCAAAAGTTACTGATATACTGGATTTATATGGGTACTTAAAGAAAGAAATCAAAAGCTTTAACCAAAATTCTTTTGAAGAGTGTACTCCTCAATAAGCGTCCATTGGTTATGCCGTCAGAAGTTAGTCCGAATCTAATAGCTCACAAAATGAACTGCAAGGTACAAAAATTAGGTAATAAACCACATTATGATTCGGATTAGCAGCTTATAATAAAAGCAAATTAAAATTTAATAATATTTATAATTTACACAATCTCACTAAAAAATATAAAGTGTTCTCCAAAAGAGAGGCCTAAAACGCATTGTTCTTTAACCCACATGAAATTAAGGAGAATTTAATTACTTTCTAAATGAAATAAAGTTTAAAAATAAATATAATATATTAAAATATGTAATTTGTCATTAATTAGACCAGAGTGTAGAATGCCATGATCGAAAACTTGCGATGCGTTTTTCTCGTAACACAGTTTTGGAGTATAGGCCCTTCTTTTAGCTACAACTTCAACTGCAGTTTCTGTGCTCGGGAGGTCCTAGGATTTCAGTCCCGACGGTGGCAGAATTTTCGACCCTAGCTACAGGTCGAATTCAGCCGCTGTCTGGAGGACAAGTCTGATCAGTAGTTGCCCGTGCTTTCGCCGATGAACACCAGGCGAATGACTGTTCAGGCTAAGAAACGGGCCAGGGACCGCGCGGCCCTTCCTTGCTCTTTCTTCTCATATCCCTGCTCAGCTTACACTCACACCCACTCACATACACCACACTATTTCAGATGTCGGAGACCGGTTCAGAGCGTAGAGCGTGTCCCGGCTGGGACGATGTCACTCTGGTAGGAGATACTTGGAAAAATAAACAACGCAACTAGACATTTAGATAGACGTCGGATCTCGCCATTCAGTTGAGGAAGGTTACCCCCCACCTCCCGCAATAGAAAGCATGCAATACGGGACGAATGACCTTAGCAATTGATACGTCCGGACACACTATTCAATCAATCAAAGCGAGGTGTAGGAATACTTTGGCCTCGGAAAGGAAGAAATGTTCGCAGAAATGGAATTTATTTGCAAATCTGTTTGCGAATAAACTCATTCGAAGTTTATTTCCAAAACTAAGATTGTTTTGTAGGTTTACGGATTAATATCTTCTTACAACGCTTCTCCGTAATGTTGCCAAATATTATGTTCAGAAACTGCGATACTTTAACGTAAAAGGGTATCTGAAAACCGTTGAATCTGATCTTAAAACTGAATTTGTGCACGTCATCGTCCTAAAAAAATTATTTCTAGAAGAGAATTGATGTAATGATTTTAGTGCTCTTAGTAATCTAATAGTCATAATAATAGTCATTTGATACATAAATGTATTTATATAATATTCCGAATGTGGATTAAAATGTGTTTATGTGAAAAGTGCAAAAGTACTCAAGAATACTTAATTCAGTTTAAAACTAACTGAATTAATTTGTCTTGGTATACTACAAGATCATTGCACATTTACTTTGATTTGTTCGTTGAAACTTGCTTTCACCCGACCCGATGTATGGATACATCTGGAGTAAATAAAATTTGAGTAAAAATATTATTTACTTTTTTTCATCACAAAAAAAACTGAAATTTTGAACGAAGTGTAAAATATTGTATTGTAAAAAATGTAAAATATTTTAGATGTCACTAATGACCTCGTAGTTTATGCGGCAATATTTGTTTAACAGCCAGTAAATGTAGGAAATTTAAAACTTGACCCGACCTGGTGGATAAGAGCGTTTACCGACATAGCTGTGGTCCGAAGGGTCGCGGGTTCGAGTCCTGCCATGGGCATGGTTGTTTGTCTATTGTCTCTCATATGTGATGTCAGGGAGGGTCACGAGTTCTACTGACCCCAGATCAAAGGAGCCTGAAAGTATGTTGGAGTCTAGTGTATGGTCGAATATGCGTAACGGGATGTCGACTTGATAAAATCACTAGAAAAAAATCAAACTTGATAAATTTGTTAGAACTCTGTAACTACCAGTAACAGTGTAACGAGTCGTTGGATAATGACATAGACTAGCAGACCGCACGTTCAATTCGGAATTGGGGCAGGAAATGTGGACGATGTGTTTAAAATCAGGGAGTTGTGTTTCCTGGCGGGATCGAGTGGGTTGGTTGACTGCTGTTACCAGTGTCTTCGAGGTTTTCCTGATGCTGACATGATAACGCGATTGAAGCACCGTATAACAGGACATGTAAGTTCGCTATCCTTCTTTTCAATCCAACTTCATCTCCATCTCCAATACCTAGCGCCGGATTTCAGGATAGTCTCAATTTCAATGATCAAAAAAATCTTCCTTAGTAGGATATAGTCAGGTACAGCTACAAGAAGCGATATCTCTGAGGCTCTGCGTGTCTCATGGAAGGATAGCTGAAATTGTGAATTAATACATTTTGTCAAAACACAGAATGGGCAGAAAGAAAAGCGTGAATGAAAGTTCTCCTAGTTTGGAATTATTCAATTTATCAATAACAGTTTATTTGATAATTCAATTAGGTAACTTATAAATAGAAATTACACAGTTATTAGATGTCATATTGTAAGCTGTCATATCTAAAACATGTATCCCAATTCCTTGTTTTTCTTCTTCCAAATTTAAAATATTTTATGTATTTCTAATTAGCTCATGACGTTCTGTTTTGGTCTCTATTTCCTCCTTTTATTGAACCGTTTTCATCTCTCTCCAGTTTAGAACCGCAACGCATATTTGAAGAGAAACGTTGTATTGTCGCGACTTACGTTGCACCAAATGTATTTTGGCAGAATAAAACGAATGTAGACGGGATAAACTGAACCAGGAACAACGTGTGTTTTCTTCCTGCATTTAACATTGCTGGAAATTGCTGTCTCCGCCCATGTTGGCATGTGTTTACTTGCGTGCCGAAGTACGAATAATATACTGAGACTCTGCGTTTGTGAATGCCCTTGTGTGCACACATGAGTTTAAGTGTGCGTGAGAATGTAAACGCATGCATTTACAAGTGAGTGTGTGTAAATATGTGTGTATGTGTGAAAAAAAACATCTTAGAGTATAAATGAAACTGTGTGAGGCAGACAAAACACGTTTACTCTGGTAAGTGTGTGAATGTGCATATTTTCCTGTCGGTCTCCCTACTTCTGAATTTTTAAACGCTAATTAACATTTTGGAACATTCTGAAATGTCACAACTGGAGTATACTAACAATTTCAATCTAAAGATGAAAGACACATTATGAATTATGTTTTACCATTAATTAATAAATAATGTTAGTAAATAAAAAGGCATTTAGATCTTTGCCATTGGTATTATTCAATGTAGTTCAAATTCAATCAACACATACACTAAACAGACCACCAGATGACGGGCAAGAATTGGTTTGTCTAGAACCATAGACCTACGAAGATCCTTGTATTAAATTGAGGGCGCATGTAGATAACAAAAAGGAAAAAAATATTCAGAGTGCCATTCACACATTTCTCCACCTTTCTCCTAAATTTGTACGTATAATAACACAATAATATTCCGTAGCTTTCATCTATTAGTTTTTGAAAATGGAATAGATCTGTTCATACGCAGTACATGAAAATACCATTACCTGAAACGTCAGTAGATTGGAATGAAAGCCCCGCTCCCTGGGCAAAATTCAAAAGGACACTGCGATATCCCAGAAAGGAGATAAAAAAGGTTGCGGTTGTCTGCAAACGGAAATTTGCTAGCAAATCCTGCAATTCTTGCTTCGAGTACATTTGCTATTGCAAATTGCACGATCAGGTTCGTTCATAATCGCATAGTACTCTGCCGAAGCTCGCATTTTAAACTCTTCGTTTTTTTTTATTATTTCCCCTCCAAAGTACCCCCTGAAGAGGTAAGAATTTATTTGTTGAACTGCTTTACAAGTAAATTGCTGCCTTGCCGCTTAAGCAGCTGAGAGGGAGGGATTTTTGGTTAATCCCGGGTTTACGGTGCACCGCGGTCTTGACGACTTTCGTTCTCTGGGCCTCCTTAATACTACTATGTATCGTTCACTTCTGATTCTCGTGTCGTGAACGATAAAAAATGATACATTATTTACATGGTATATTTAAACACTAGATTTAGGCTAAATTGGAAGTTGGGGTTGTACTTGTTCACACGCACGGAATTGTGACGCTTCGCTATGCGTGTCCAAGTTAAGTACGAGGCTCGGACCCTCGCGTTAACATAAAACTTAAATGGGTCTGTCCAAAGCATAATTACCAACTCATTTATGTGAATACTTATCTCAAAAATAATTTGGCGGATATATGTATGTATACTCCGAACATTTAAATATTACTCAAAATAATATCAACGATTCCTGTCTGCTGAACGATAACATTCCTTCGCACCGCTTTGGTTGATTGACTGGTTTAGTGATTCCGGGCACGTCAACTAACAGAATTATTCGTCCCGTACGTGTAGTCGTGTTTTTGCTCGGGCTGTGGCGGTAATCTCTCCCTCGTTATACGGCAAAATCCGGGCGCCGACCTACCGTCGGCTAGCTGTGTTTTCCTAACCAGGTATCTCCTTCCATCGGGGCCCCGCCCTAGCCGAGTCGGGCTCTAAGATCGCGACCGACCTCCCAGCATGCATGCTTGTGTAGTGCGCATTAGCGTGTGTGTGTGTATGTGTGTGTATGTGTGTGAAAGGGGACAAAGAAAAGATAGGAAACATGAAGCGCAGTCCATGGCCCGTTTGGTAAGGTACTCCTCTGGCATTCGCCTGGTGTTGATCGGAGAAACCACTACCGATCAGAGCAGCCGGCTGCTAGAATTCTCCTATAAACAGCGACTGAATCCGACCTAACTGACTAACTGAAGCTAGTGTCGAAAATCCTCCCATGGAACCTAGAATCTTCCGGTCAGAAGAACTGCAGTGACATAAGTCAATGCCCTGAGCCATCTCTCAGGGTGCACCGATTGGAAGAGACGCAGATCACGTCAAGGCACAGTAATCGAAGAACCCTGGACCAAGGCGCACCGTAAACCCGGGATCAGCCTGGATTTTCTTATTAATACTTACCTAAACGAACTCTTGGCCACCGTAGCCCTCGCGAGTCCAGGGGTGGAGTGGCCGGCGGTGCGAGTGCGTGCGGCCGCCCGCGGCACTCATGGCGCCCGCGCCGCCGCCGCCGTGCGTTGACCCGCGCCGCGCTCGCAGGCAGCGCCACCGCGCCGCGCCACCTCGACCCGCCTCCGCGCCGCCGGGCGCCGCCGCGCGTGGACGCGACAAGGTGCGGGATGTTCCTCGGGTCAAGGGGCCCCGGACGACCGCACAAAGCGCGAGACCTCTCGCGGGATTCGGGACCGCATCTTCTTCTTTGGTCCTATCTTCCATATACGGAAGTTAGGTGTCTCACAACGGGTTTTCTTGGGATATATTATTCAGGGTGGTTTCCCGTTGCCTTCCCTGATATAATGATGATGATAGGGGGTGAAAGGACGAACACAATACAACCATGCCCGAGGCGGGACTCCAACCCGCGATCTTTCGGTACGAGATCGCTACAACATTACTGCCTTAGCGATCTCGGCCACCGGATCGGCGGGATCCGTATAATGGGCGAGTTATTCCCGCATCCGCTGGCAGGCACGCGCCCGGAAGCGGGAGATGGAGAGGCGTGTGTTTGCGAAAGCGGGGCTGCTCTATGGAAGGGATCCCGCCGAGCAGGGGGTGGGACCTCGGGAGCTGGTGAGGAATGTGCGCACATGTTTGTTTAATGTAGTTTTCATGCAATCAGGTACTTTTCTTTTGATCTGCACTGCGCGAATGATGTATAAAGAATGACCTAATACAAAATATGATTTATTAAAATTTAATAAAATCTGACTTGTTGGGAAAATAGTGCGTATGTGTGTGTTAAGAGAGTGACTGAGAATGAGAGACAGACAGGGAGAGAGAGTGATAGACAGAGCGAGAGAGTGATAGAGAGAATAAGAAAGAGTTCTTGAGAGAAAATGAGAGAGAACAAAAGAGTGAGTGAGAGTAAATAAGAGTGACTGAGAGTGCGAGTAGGAGAGAGTAAGAGAGCAAGGAAGCAAGAGAAATTGCCTCATGGTTGTGTTCTTGAAAAATCTTTCTGAAGACAAATATTGTCATCTGTCAAGACACCATCGTTGACAGAGGCGCATAGTGTTGTGCGTATCACTCAGGCAATACTCTCTCACTGATCGAGCCATCCTGACCTCAAGAGTAAGAAGGGTGCGTGATATTATTGACGATGAGTCACAAACGGCACTGGTTGAATACTTGTGTAAGATGTGCTGCCCAAAGTACACATGCTATTCCAGTAATATTTAGTTCACAGATGCAATTTACTTCATCTATGATCCAAAACTGCAAATGCTCTTTGGGGGCGCTCTCCATATCCTCTTCAGCTCTGGAAAATTGTTTTAGAAACAGTTATTTTACACTCACCACTGCTCACATCTACTGTATTAAGTGACGAGGATTCTAGGTTAGAAAGATCGCTTCTGTAGAGCACGATATGCCTACAAAATGCAGCTTTTTTTAAAAACCAGGGAACCGTCAAAATTCCCTTGTTTGGTTTCATAGTATCTTACGTATTTCTTCAGTAATATTGACTAATATTTTGCCTATAAAGGCCTTGAAACTATCTAATTTTAAGTATGTGCACAAGCTGTTAATTTTAACTACCATCAATGCGAGGTCTATGCCCTTTGACTTTTGTGATATACCGCACCAAACCAAACAAAAACCTTGACCAGATGTTTAACTCAACACATTAATATAAAAAATCTGTATATCACAATGTTATTCTATTATTATTTTAGTAGAAGTGTTCTATATTCTTGTTTTTGGATACAATATTATTGTATTTTCTAATTTGAATGCTGATATTTTTAAAATCTTAATTGCAGCCGACCCGCAAATGGGGAGAAAAATTCTCCGTACCGTTGAGTTTTGTGAACATATTTTAAAATCTTTGTATCAAATTTGCCATTTTTTAAATCCTAAGTACAAATTTAGAATTTAAAAAAACAAAAAATAATTTTAAGAACTGTAAAAATATTTATGTATTGATGGATATGTGCTAAAAGATGCAAATTAATTTTTAAGTGTAACAAGGGATAGAATAAATTAATACAAAGTGTTAATTTTCAACTTTGAGAAAGGAACAGCCCAAAACCCGGTATGATTTCCATTTGCCATCTCGCAGTCCACCGCCTGTAGCAACGCCATTCGGTGCGATCTTCCACTGCCACTAACGAGTTTCGGATCCGGTACCATGCCCGCGTGCTCCGCTGCGCCACGTGGACGCGGCGGCGCCGGGCGCGGCATTGGCCTTCGACCCCCGGGAGCCGGGGCCGTGTCGCGGCTTCAACGTCGCGAAATTTGTGCTCAACGCAAAGGCTGTTTCCGGCGAGATTTCGCGGGGAGTGAGAAACAACCAATTGCCGGCAGTGATGCTAAACAATAACTCGTCAGTGATTTCGTTTTTGTTTTTTCATCATGGGGGGGTCTTGGGCTCACCAATTAGTGTTTTGGTTGGCAAAACACAAGGCGGTTCAAAAAAATTGCACAAATCAACTGTCAAGATTTTTATGGTTTGTCGTCTTGACAGAAGATTAGACTTGAAGAAAAATCTTCAAAACTTGTCGTATTGTTAGTGTATGGGCGAGGTTTCAGAGCACCTAATAGTGTGTAGACATCGTAACACGTAACCAACATGTTAATCTCTTGACAATTCCCGGGAAACGTAATTATTACTCATTGCTCTCTGATTAGCAA